CACACAGAAAGGCAAGATGCCAAAACTGCACCAGTTACTAGTCTGGCCATTGCTTTGCATTGCCTCTCCTCTTTCTCTGCTAGTGTGCTCCTTCTCCTCCGACAACTGAGCGTGGGAACGTGGGGACCCCAGGGGAGCTAGAAAGGGGCTTGTTCCCGTCCCTCTTCCTCCTTCTCTGCTTCCCAGCACAGCTTTCTTGTGCTGCCCCTGCCTTTACTCGAGCAGGACTGCTGACTGAAAGGGAGAAGCACCAGGACAGCCAGACATCCAGCTTGAGTACATCTTCAGCTGTCAACTGCCACCTCAGAGACAGAACTTCCAGCAGGCACCTACCTCCTTGTTGACTCATGAAATCAGACTGACCAGAAGTGTCAAGGGGGCTACAGAGGCAGAAAAACAGACTGTGAGGGATGCCAAGCATAGAGCACTCCAACGCCTTCTGCATCTCTCACCTGAGACACCTGAAGTATTGCAGTATTTGGTAGTACCACAATACAAGCTTTTGTACTTAATGAATACTGCTAAGCATAAACGATTTTAATAACAATCACAGTGGTATTCCTTTTCTTTGAGAGTAGTATTACTTTTGTTGTGATAATATTTTGGCAGGGAGAGCTCTGGCAAACAGCAAAATGACCAAAAATCTCATTCTAACAAAAGCTTTAGGCAGAACCATCTCTTCACAAGCCTATGAAAATGTTCAAAATGTGATCTGAAAATCTGTATATATGGTTTATCTGAGAGTCCTGAGTCAAGCCAGTCACTGGGCTTGTCTGCTAATGGCTACTAATGGAAACAAGACCCTGGATGAGATGAATCCTGGCTCTGTCCCAGAATAACTATTCTTACATATTGTGGAAAGGAAATGAGTTATACAAAGTGGCTAACAGAGCAATGATTTTCTTCATCACTTAAACTGGCTCTGACAGAATCCTGAGCTGCAGGGCCACTAGCATCTACCACTGCTTCCTGAAACTAAGATCCATTACAGAAAGCTATCCAGTTTTACCAGGCAGGCTAAACACACAGTGAGTGGTAGTATTGATCCCAGACAGCTTGTTTTCTAAACAGAGCACTTTTCAGACCCAGAATTGTAGAAACGAATGGAGGAGGAAATAACTAAATTGTGCAGTGGATGATTGTTTGGCTCTTGCTTTCATTTTTACTCTTTTGTCAAGTAAGATAAGTAATGCTGGAATTCAGTAATCAAACCTTTGCAGGTCAGCACTGTAAGGAGCACAGTTGCTCAGTGAACTTCATTTCAGTACAGAATTCAACCTGAAGAGACCTAGTAAATTAACTTTATAGCTAAAAAAAAAGACCCTCCTGTTACACTGCTCATTTTTTCTGGAATACTAGAACTATAGAAAGATAGCAAGAAAGTGCCCCACATTAGAGCTGCAGAGAAACATGGGCTTGCTCTGAGCCTGGGACAAAAGGCTGAGATGAAAGACTCCCTTGGAACAAATGGGTCTGGATCGGTTTCTGGAAGACTGAAAAATATGGCTGGAAGAAAGCAGAACAACTGAGAGAGGAAGTACAAGTATCTTGTCCCCTAAAGTGACTTCTGGGCAACTGAATCTTAGCAGTCTTTGTCAAAGTCTTCTCCAGCCATTTTGTATCTGAGAGAGTTTCCAGCACACTTTCATTTAAAACAGTTTATGCAACACTTTAAAGCCAAACTCTTTAGGCAGAAAATACTTCAATTACCACAAAATGCAAAAATGCATACATAATTTCCCAGACTGATCTCTTCTACTGAAAAATGATAGCCTAATGATGTACTGTGTTCAACCTCTTGCTCGCCAAAAATGATTTTGTCCTGTATGCCTGTCATATACTAAATGCTGACTTTCAGAGCAACCATATCAGCTAGATATAAGTATCATTTATGTACTTATAATTCAGCAAAATACCTCAGTACTGCCTGTGAAAAAAATTGTAACAGTAAATGGAATCATGCATTTTATAGAATTAATAGGAAAATGTTTGTGCATGGTGTGATAAACAGATCAAAGACCACCTAAAGGCCTACTATACCTCATGGAGACATTTACTCACTACGTACTTCACCTCTAAGACATCACACCAATGCAAACACCACCAGACTGGCTGCTATGAGCTAACATTACAAACATAGCTTGCTGCTGAAAAAACTGAAACACAGGAACGTGACAAAGCTGGTCCAAGAAAAACGCACAGCAGTATTTCTAGTAGTTCTTGATATAAATCACCCAGCTGACAAAATGTCAGTTTTCACTGCTCCTGCACAGCTAGAAATGACACATCTGCACAGGGCAAAAGCCAACAATATGTAGGTTGGACTTCGAATGAGGAAAGAAGAGTTCAGTGAGTGCCTTCTATAACCACTGATACTTCAACAAGAGCTAAAAGTATTTCTAAGAGCTGATCATTGCTAAATAATTGAAAAAAATATTAGTAAGCCTGCTTTTTTTTTTTAAATACAACAGTGAAATGGCAACGGAAAGTACAATATATTTACTGTAATCAGTCATTTTGAATTCTAACATTGTATTAGCATTTCAGCTGATACTGTTAGCTCAGTTTTTAAAACATTCTTCCTTTTACAATCTAGTGGAAAATGAGATTGAAAGAGTTGCTTCCAGGTTATCATCAGACATAAAGACTTGATAACACAATGAAGTATACCATAGGTTTCATATGTGACCAGAAAAAAGGCACTGGGCTTTTATATATATATATAATTTGGGGCTAGGATGAGTTGTCCAGCCTGAACAAACAGCCACGTGAAGGCACAGCCGTCCCTACAACACCTATTTCTCCATGCAACGCACCTGAAGATTACGAAGTGTTTTCAGCTATTCCGATTACCTGCGCTCAAGAAACGAGGTCTGCTCAGCTGCAGCTTTTGTTAGGAATTATTACTTACGGTTTTAAGGATGACCAAACGGGGCTGACAGTGACTGAATGCTGCTCACATCGGAGACCTCGCTGACACCCCACACTCTCCGAGGGCGAACGGGCTGAGGTGCGACCTGTGCCCCACCACAGCAACTGCTGCAACAACGAAATAACAACAAATTCTCTGTCCACTGGGAACAGGCGGGACACAGCAGGAGAATGGGGAAGGATTCCCCCGAATGATGGGGAATGTTCTCTAGAGCACCTCATTTCCCCATCTAACTCCGGCAACAAAAACTAATTCAACCCGAATCGGGGGGGGGGGGTGTCGGAGAAAATAAAAAATAAGGCAGATTTCCAACATTTCGAACACCTTTACCTCAGACACGAGCTGACTGCGCCTCACGCAGCGCCCGCCCGGGCTGTGCGGGACCGCCGCGCCGGTATCACCGCTACCTCACCGGCTCAGCCAGCGGCTCACAAACATCTCCTGAACGCAGTGCAACCGGTGACAAACACCGACATCAGACACCCAAAGCAACCGGTCCGTCATCGCCCGGCCCGCCTAGCGGGACGATGAACAACCCCCCCCCGGCCTACCCGTGCCTTCCCGCCGCCTCCCGGCACCGCCGCGGACCCGAGCTGCCTGCGGAGACAATGAACCGCTTTCAGACGTGGCCGAGGAGACGGGGCAGCGGGAGGAGCCGAGCCGATCCGCCCCGCACCCGGAGCATCCCCGGGCAGAGGCGCAGCCCTGCCCGCCCCGCCCCGCACAGCACCGCCCGCTCCAATGGGACCGGCTCGGCGAGGAGCCTCGGGACAGCGGCCGGGCGCTGATGGCGGCAGCAGCCTTACCGGAGCCGGGCCGCTGTAGCTCCCTCAGGCCTGCGCCGCCTCCTTGCCCCTCCGCCCGCCGCCACCCCTCAGGCCGCGTCCTGCGGGGGGAACGGGACCGTAGCCGTCCTTGTCCCGTCCCGACCCCGACCCCCCAGGGGCCGCCTCCTTCGTTCAAGCATCGCCCCATGGAAACCTCGGCACCCGTGCCTCTTCCCTGCCCACATCACCGCTTTTATTTATGCACAGGGCTGTTAACCAGCAGACACTCATCTATTTCCTGAACCAGACCTATCCACCATTTTTCCTTTCACATGCATTCACTGAGCTGTTGCTCTGAGCTGTTGTAACTTCATGTGGAAGGAGATGAGAGAAAAGCAAAATAGGGGGATGGGGTCTCCTGGTTTTACTGCTGTTTTCTGGCATTAGCCTCGCTTCTTTTCCGGCTGCTACCTTAAACAGGCTTCTGTTCGGCTTGGAATTCCATTTCTGTGAGAGTACAGCAGCTCAAACCCTTAAAATGGGCCTGTGGTCTCTAGGGATTTCTATCCCTTGCTTTATGCCCACCCTAATGCTTGTGCAGACACATACCAAGCTCATTCAGGGAACTGACTTCTCTGAAAAAGTGAATATATTTGGTAAATATGACCTTTACCACAATGAACTCATTATCAACCATAATGAACTGATAGCTCATACACTCACATGCTATCACCACTGCAAGGAAGAAGAACTGGGACTACAGCAGGAGAGATGTATGTCAGCATGAGATGCTGGTGAAACAAGTGCATGGGCCCTATGTTCATCCTCTGCAGTGCTAAGAACACTGAAAAGCAGTGGACAGTTGCTGTTGACAGTGCACTGGGATACAAAGCCAACTGCCAGCAGTCCACAGCTGCCATGTGTGGAGTTCGCAGAGCAAACTGGAGATTTCTGGAATAGGTAGTTCTCAAAACTGCCAGGATGCTGAATCCCAGAGAACAATGGTCCAAAGGTCAGCTGTTGCTTTACAAGTTGCTCTTTCACGTTTCATAGCTGCACCATGTCTTGAGACTTAAAAGAGAACCAACACAAAATTTAACTAGCACCTAAAATTGTTTTACTCCTTCCTGCCATAACATGGCTTTGCTAGAACTACAAAACTGAAAACACAGCAGAAATTTTGTTGGTTTCCATTTTAAGCTTGTCTAGAACAAAAAGTAAGCTTAGAAAGAGAAAATAAAACTAAATAATCTTCCTTACCACCCACACTAAGAAAGAGGGACATATCAGCACTCACCAGGTGATAATAATTGATTTAATTTTTATTTATTCTAAGTTATCATTTAAGTTCTGAAAGTAATTTTTCACTTGCTTTGGAACTCTGAAGCTTCTCTGGTAGGTTTTTGTTGTTGTTAGTGTTCTTTAAACAAATATCAGGCTTCTCTGTTTTACTATTCCCAATTTACAATTAATGGTGTAGTGCTACAGTAATAATGCCAACAGCAGACAATTGTGCAAACCTTGCAGACACTGTCACCCACAACCCAGTTTCTCACATCAATCTTGAATTTATCCAACTTAATACCTAAATTGGTGAGCACATATAGCCACAGTTATGGAAGTATGGCTCTGATGGTAACTCATCCATACACTTCTTCACATTCCTTGTATTTTTTCCTTTCATAGTGCATATAAACACATGTACAAATACCCCTTGGCAGAACTCTACCTTAATGGTGAATTAATTTACAAGACAGTAAAAACAGCTTATGCTGATACTGTTGGCATGTTATTTTCAATCTTCAAGGTTAAGCAAAATCAAGATCATGAAAAAGCAGCTTCATTGCTTTCTGCTGGTTTTCGAAGTGTGTTCTAGTTGAAAAAAAAAACCAAACAAAAAACTAGGTTCTTCTTCTGTCAAAGATACAAAACTTTTCAGTCCCAAAGCAGTGTTCCCAGAGAAAAAGATGAATGAACGTGTACTTGAAAAAAAAACCAAAAACAGAACAAAATTGGAACACACCTACAAAGTTTGATCTTCCTAAGTAAAAAACACACAAAGTCAGGGATCTATTTTTTGAACTGCATTTCTTTAAAGTATTCTCAAGTATCTCCTCAGGACTGGTGCTGTTTGTAGGACAGTACTGGAGACACTGGCAAAACTGGTGTTACTGAAGTTGTCGTCAACACATGATTCTGGAATATAAACATTTTAATCCTACCAAACACCCAAAGAAATATAAGGAGAATGCTGACATACTGGATCCAGGCAAATTTAATCACTTCCCAAAATCCTGGCTGATACTTAAAGGAAGTCAAGGAGTGTTCAAGAAGCAGCTTCTGCTACTACTACTGCAATAACTAAACAAAGGAACTTGAAGGTGGAAAGGCAAAACTTCTTGTTAACAAAAGTTGTTAAGACATCAGTTCATGTGGCAAATGCAAAGCCTTTTACCATAGTATGCAACAACAGTTGCAGAGAATGTCTACCCTAGAAGACATTTAGATCAATACTGTGCAAAGTGCCTAGTTTGTCCCTGACTCACCAGAAAGTAGTTAGTAGTAGTCAAGCAGGTAAACAAACCTTGTAAGAAGAGTGCTTCATACAAATTCTTTTAAACACAGGCTTGTTCTTATCAGACAAAATGAGTAAAAAGTGTAATGAATGAATAATTATTTTATAGGGGGAAAAAAAAACACCAGGTATGTCTGCACATGCAACAGGTTTGCCACATCCACTGCAGGGATTATGATCTGGTGAGCTTACCTTGCATTCAGATTTCTAATGATTTGCTTTAAGTCACAGAATACAGTATTATGCTTTGCTAGTGGCATCTATGACACATTGGGACAGCAGGTGCTGCAGGAGCAAAGCAAGACTTCCTAAGGATATTTACTGTGGATGGCTAAGAAACTGCTATAAAGGCCAGTATAGAAAGACTGGAAAGCAACGTGGGTTCCTAGCAAGGAAAGACAAAAGGTGGTTATGCTAGCAGAACCACCCAGAAGAATGGGCAAATAGGTATTCAGCTGGCTCCAGAACTATAGCATTTGCTCAGCTAACACAGCAAGTCTAGAAGCAAACAGTTTTCTTTTGGCCTATATGCAAAGTCCTAAATAATGCAACCCTGTTATGTCACAGTTTATGCAGTTTTCAAAGGATATAAGATAACTTCCACTGGGTAATGAATAGTGGCGTTAATGATAAATGGTGTATCTGTTGCTCTTCCAGCCATCCAGAGAGGGTTGGGATCTGAAAAGACTGTTGTAACTACAATGGGGAAAGAAAACATCCAGGTTAAGGGGCTTTTCAGTCTTAACACAGAGCTCAAATCCTCACAGAATAACTGCCAGTATGAGAACTACTGCTGCCCTGTAATTCAGAGCTGTACATTCAGGCTTACCATTTCTATCCCGATATGCTGCAATGATGTTTGTTAGATCATAATCACTTGCAAAGGGACTTGCGCCATTGACCAGAGACACCTGTTACAACAAAGAGATACTTGCATTACTTGTTCACTCCTCAAGGAAGTAACTCTACCAAGTTTTTTTATGCTAAGTAACCATGCCCTTGAAGGAATGCACGTAACTATCAGACTGAATGTTTTGACAGAATAACCTGATCCACCTTTCAGCCTAACAAGAAAACACCAGTTTCAAAGTTCTGCGGTCCCCTTTGCGCAGGAGTATGAATAGGGTGTCACCTATGGCACTAGGAGGATAAAGAGAGGGGAGAATTTATGGAGAAGGAAAAAAGTTTCCTCACATTGTATCTGGTATCCAGTCCACAATAGTTAAGTAATTGCCTCTGCTTCAGTTTCAGGTCTCCATTCATATACAGCTGAGACCCTGGCACAGGAGAAAAATACTGAAGAAAAGCCATGCTCTGCATCACAAACGTTGACATCCTCTGAAATGGTGAACACAAGAGAAGATAATTGGGGGGGGAGGGGAACACAACACACTTTTGAAATTCTTTGTATCTACAGATTTTCTGCATGGATTTTATTTTTTTCCTGACCCCCAGTTTCAGACTGTCACATTAGTCTAAACAAGGGAACACCAAATAAGATATTATTTATTTTTTCAGGTTTTTCTGAAAGTGAACTACCTTATTTGTGAGTTAACAAACTTTATAAACCAAACAGTTCCATGGGAACTTCAGGGCAGTTCAGCAATCTGTGGCTAATGACAGAAGGATTCAACTTGCCATAACATGTGAAAAGCAGCAAGATGACTAAACAGGTTAATTGGAGACACACTTTAAAATACTCAAGCAGTCAAAGTCAGCTAAGGACTCACTGTGGAAGGAAGGAAGGACCAAACAAGTTCATTTGCCATTATCAACCACTCAATCTGAATGAAAATTTTCTTATTTACCTAAAACAAATGTGCTGTGAATATCAGAACTGTCTGTGATATTAATCACTGACCTGAAACTCCAGCACAAATTTAGTCCTGTCAGGCCTTTACTCTGGGCCTCATAGGTTTGAGAACACCCCACCCCAAAATCCAAAATGAAATCAAATCAAAACCAAGACCCACAAAACATATCAAAAGATGCAAGAGAGATAGACTAGGGATGACCCAGCAGAGGAGGAGAAAATTAAGTATTTGTTAGCAAAATAAAACTTTTAGATAGTAATTTCAAATATGGAAAGGTTCTTCCATGCTTTGCATAACCACTACTGGAATATTATATTGTGTGTAAACGTCACAACAAATAAAACTAGAAATGCTCACATAAAGCTGGTAGGAAAAGAGTAGAATCAGCTGAACACCAACTACATGCTCTGTAGGTTGTAGCGGAAGTTCCAATCGAAAATGCAACTGATCCATTTTGCCATCTTGGTTTTTGTCTTCTTCTGTAGTCTAGAAGAACCAGTAAGATTTTTAGTTGGGGTTTTTTAAACAGGAACTTCTACTAGAAAGAAAACCAAAGGTAAAACCCCAGTGGATCTCCACGGCTGCAGCATGCACATGCTGAGGAAGCAGATAAACCACTGTTAGGAACGCAACAAAAAGCTGCTTGACTTTATTAGACACAGGACTAGAGGCTGCAGTTTTGTCTGTTATACAATGTCTCATTTGCCCCCAAGGGAGGGAAAGCATATCAGACTCTTGAAGGTCTCTTCTGCCCTGTGCCATTCCAACCACCTCCCCAGCATGCTACAAAGCACACATTAGTGCTGAATCTTATGTCACATCCTGTGCAAGTGTGTGACTGTTTGCCAAGCTTTTGCCTCTTGCCCCTGCAGCCTGCCTGTTAATGGTCTCTGCATGACGACTCCTGGTTATAAGCCAAGGCTTGACACACTTCTGTGCCACAGATGCCCAGCACTTCAGCTATCTGGATACATAACAGGACCGTACCAGAGGAAATGCAGAAAAATAACTGCCGCTGTTGACTCCCAGTAGGAACAACAGTTGCAGGGCAGAAGCCAGGCAGGTTAGAAAGCACATACCTGCTTTCAAAACCAGGGGCTAATGAGGAACCCCTGCAAACTTCAGATCCTGACAAGCCATATGGAGGAGGAAGAGAGTAATTAATTTGAGTAAACTGATGTGCTCATGCAAACCACCAGTAGTGCTTAGGAACATGGTTTAGTGGTGGACTTGGTACTGCTAGGTTAACGGTTGGACTTGATGATCTTAAGGATCTTTTCCAACAGAAACGATTCTACAACACTGAGAGGAAGTAAAATTGGACTGGTTAATAACCACTCGTCCCTCCCGAGTGAATTTTGGTGTGGGACACGAAGTGACACATGAAGCTGCTGCTACTAGCAGGGAGCAGAGCGGGACAGGCCTCCTGCTCGCAGCACCAGCACTAGCCCCGGCTCTGCTGCCCTGGGCGCCCCTCTCCCGCCCCGGGCGGCCCTACCGACAGCAGCGGGACCCGCAGCCGCTCCCCCTGCAGCCGGTTGAACGCTGGAAACGTGCTCCACGCCAAGAAGCTGCCCGGGCTGGGCCCTGTGGTGGCCACGAGGAGCAGCTCGTACCGGAACCGCACTGTGGGCTGCTCCAGGTACGAGCTCTGCTTCAGCCAGAAACCTGCGGGGAGAGGAATCGCGAGGACTCAGCGCCGCCCGGGCCGCTCCGCTCCGGGCCGCGCGCGGTGCGGTGGCGCTCACCGTGGCTCCGGTAGGCCACGAGCAGCGGCGGCACGTAGGTGAGCAGCGTGACGAGCAGCAGCGCCAGCGCGGCAGCGGAGCAGAGACCGGCGCGGTACCGCGTGTGAAGCGCGGGGTGCGAGAACAGCTCCAAGGCCGCCATCGCCCCGCGCCCTCACCGTGGCAACGGCGGGGCCCTGACGGGCGGGACGCCACGCTTAGCAGCGGCCCAGGCGCCGGGGAAAACGGGCGCGCCAGCCAATCAGCGCGCTCTGCTGCAGTCCGCTGCTCCCGGGGCCCGCGGCGACGGCGGAGCCTCGAGCGGCCTCGAACCCGGCAGCGGCAGCGGCAGCGGCAACGGCAACGGCAGCAGCGGCAGCAGCGGCAGCAGCGGCAGCGGCAGCAGCAGCAGCGGCGGCGGCGGCCGCACCCCCCCCTCCCGCCGCCACTGCCACCGCCCCTGCCCCTGTCGCGGGCCCGCCGGAAGCGCCGCGCTCGGACTGTTGCTAGGAGACCGGCGAGCCGGAAGTCCCGCCCGCCGAGCCGCGGTGTTGTTGTTGTGACAGCGCCAGCCCCGGCCTGAGCCCCGCCGCCGGCTCCGCGCCCCGCCGCCGCGCCATGAAGTGGATGTTCAAGGAGGACCACGCGCTGGGTAAGGCCGGGCGCTGCTCGCCGCTTGCAGTGTCGCTGCGTGCCCCGTGGGTCGGCCTGTCTGCGCGCGGACAGCCGCCCAGCCCCGCCGCGATGCCCGGGACGGTTCCGGAGCCCCCGGAGCCCCCTGGGCGGCCTGCGGGCTGCCGTCCCTGAGGCCTTACCCCCCGGCTCGGGGCACGGCGGTGCCGCTGCCGTGCGCTGACTAACGGCGAGTTTTGTCCACAGAGCACAGATGTGTCGAGTCGGCAAAAATCCGAGCCAAATACCCTGACCGTGTCCCGGTGAGTAACCGAGCCAGCTGCATCGGGCCGCTGGAGGCAAAGCTGGTCCCATCCCACCGCCTCATTTGATCAGATCTTACTGAAGAAATTCATCTTCCCTTGTGTGTCCTCAGGTGTTCTAAAGAGGCCCCAGACACATCTGACTGACCGTAACCCTTCCTCTGCCCTACTGCAAGAGTGCCTTTCTAAACACTTTCCAGGCATGTTCATGATTTTCAGTGTCCTGATTTCTTCAGATGGCAATTATATCCCAGCAAATACCTTCAGTGTCCTGAGGATTCATTCTGTGCCCAATCCCAAGAACACTGAATTCTCTAAACCTTCACAATCTTCTATCCTGGCTCTGTGAAGAGGGTGATTTCTCCTCATGTAGCCATACTTGTACCCCGTTGCTGGAAGAGCCAGTGCAAGTGATGACCCCTCCTTTTTGCATTAATACCTCTCTACCTGCTAAATAGTGAATGATCTTTCCTCTTCACAGCACAATTCTTTTTTTCCTTTTATTGTGGTTCAGTGAAATGACCACACTTCACATCTGTTACAGTTGGCAACACGGCCATCTGCTTGGGAGTAAAATTTCCCACATCTAAGCTGACCACAGGCCAGTTGATGCCACTTCTGACTGAGCTTTTGGTAAACAGCATTCATTAGGCAGTGCAGCCCAGAGAAGAACCTCTAATCCCATTGAATTTCTCTGCTGCTGAGCTGCCCCTACGCACAGCACATTCTCCAGCTGCAGTCTGGCAAACTGAGCTGATCCTCGCTGTTCTCTGCTTGCCTAACTACCCCATCATGTCCATTTCAGGAATATCCCTCATGACCTTAGGGGATAAAGAGACATTGAAACTCACAGTATGAGTCAGAATTACGTGATGATATATCAGGAATGGACAGCAAGGTGTGTGTAGATACAGAAATTAAATTGCAGTGTGATGCTTTGGCTAGGCCAATAAAATTCCAATTGAGCCATGTACCTTTCACAAAATAGTTACCAAGTATATTTTTGGCATTTAATAGAAGTGTTTTTCAGACTTAATATACGTTTCCTGCTTTCCAGGTTATAGCTTATATCCAGAGTGACAGATGTCAAAATTATTTCAATTCTCAGATGCTGTATCTGTGTACCTGGATTTAGAGATATTTCAGTGATTCAAACCTATTAAGATAATGTAAGAACAGCCCGACTCTGTCCTAGGGTGGACTGTATAGGAATAAAATGTGAGGTGAAAGAAATTCATGCTTGCTAAGCACTGCAGTCTTAAATTTGCCTGAGTAATCAAGTGGTCTAAGGGTTAAAGGTATCTGTAAGTTTTACTAGAAGCAGTTCACCAACAGCCTTGACTTCCTTTTGTGACATTTTCTGTGTTATGAAGCTGAAATGCCCAGTGTGTTATTGTAATCTTAAAAATACAGAAGTATCAGTTGTTAAGGCTTTGGTATGTCTGTCAGGCTGCTTTTTGACCACTTTATAGTTCCCTCATACTGAATTGCAGGAGGCAGCTCCTGTTTCTGTAGGCAGATCTGAAGAAATTATAAGGAAAACCCTCTCCACATCATAGGATAGTGTATTCTGGATATCTGTCTGGGCATTACCTGGATGCTGTAGCAATGGGGAATGCAGAGGTAAGGAATGGAGACACTGGAACCTCTTGTAAGCCTTACTTCCTCATGTACTATATTTTTCCTTCAAGAACTAGTCTGGATGGAGCAATAAGCACCAGGTCCTTTCCACAAGTAATACTTAATTCCTCTTCCTCTACCTGTTGCTTTTTGTTTGGTTTGTTTGTGGCCATCTGTCCTTCCTGTAGTCAGTTTCTGATTTCCTAACATGAAGTAAGATACTCTAATGCCAGTCCAGCATAATACAAAGTAGAGAACAGCATCAGTGAGTCCTACCTTGACAACAGAAACACAGTGGAATGAACAATACGCCTTAGAGTGCAGTTATATTCAGAATAACACGTGTGAAAATAAAAAAAAAAAATCTGTTTTCCAGTGGTAAATCAGTATGTTACTGCAGACCTGAATCTACAGACATCCTGAAATGGTGATTAACACAGGCAGTCTTTTTTTCAGAGTTGCAAACAGAAGCCTGTTGATGCTGCAAACATCTTACCCTGGCATCTCTGCTTCGGTCCTTTCCTGCTTTCTTCTGCCAAACACTGTAGTATAGGCCGGGAATATCCCAGTTCCTGAGGTGGCTGCACAGCACAAGCAAAGCTTGTAGATTGTTTTTTCTTTTCCTAATTTTTTACTTAATTTTTTTCCTTAAAGCCTACCTACCCCATCTGGCTGTCATTCATACAGAGCTAAAACCTACACCTTGTTGGTATGGCTTCACTGCTGTCTTGTAACTTTAGCCAATCAACTGAAGCTGTAATTAACATGAGCTGCATACACTTCTGGATTAGCACTGTAAGTCTGGTACAGCAGAGGCACACACACAGCATCACATCACAGCACCTTTCTGGGGATTTGGTGGGCTCAGCTGGCACCCTTGAAGGTGAGCTGGTGTTGCAGCATGCTGCAGCCATGCTTCACCTCTCAAGGCATTGTTAAAGTGCTTGGTGGCTTGCTTTGGCCTGTCAGTAGTAACTGCTGGAGTAGTTGCAGAAATGCAGAGAACATGGATGTCAAATCAAAAGCAGTACAGCAAAGCACTGAAAAATGCACATGTGGTCTATGGCCAACTAGAAACTTGCATTATACCACAACTCATACAGTATCGGAGTTTGACTATTCAGATACAACATGGCTTCTTCAGCTCTGCACCAATCTCCCTGAAGGATGCCTGTACCTCTATTTAGCAAGGAGGTTTCTGATGTAAAAGTACTGATGAATACTGTAATGCTGTAGATGGAAGCCTGAAAGTCATTCTGGCATCTGTGGTGTGTGCAGAACAGATGAAATGCCAGACCTGATACTAGACTAGGCTGATGCTTCTCCCTCCCATTTACCTAAATTCTGATTTTGTAGCTTCAGTGTTACTGAAATTTATTTCTAATATTTCTTCCTGTTTGGGTTTTTTTCCTTTTGATGTCTGCTACACATGGACAGTTCGTTCTGTCATGTTAGGGTCAGCTTGAGGCATTGTTTAAAGAAGACAGTTAAGTTGGAAGGGTGGTAGAGGTGTGTATATTAAACCTGTATTTCTTCGTATTGTGGCATTTTATTTAGCCCCATGACAGTTTAAATGAGGAGAGGCCATGCTTCTTGCAAACTAGAACTGTATGTAATGAGATTGCAAGCAATGATGGTCATGTCCAGTGAGTAGCAGTTCAGGACTCTAGGTTTGTCTAGGTTGGAGAGAAGGAGGCTGAGGGGTCACCTCACTGTTCTCTGCAGCTTCCTGAGGAGGAGACGTGGAGATGGGGCGGGTGTTGGGATCCAGGGCAGGACACATGGGAATGGTTCAAAGCTGCAGCAGAGGAGGTTCAGACTTGACATTAGAAAGAAGTTCTTTAACATGAGGGTGGTCAGACACCGGAAGAGACTTCCTAGAGGTGGTTGATGCTCCAGGCCTGTCAGTGTTGGAAAGGCAGTTGGACAGTGCTCTGAATGACATGCTTTAATTTTTGGTTGGCCCTGAATTGGTCAGGCTGTTGGACCAGATGATTGTTGTTAACTATTCTGTTGTAGTCTGCTTTCTTTTTACATTGTGACAGTGACAAAACAAAGTAAGCAGCATCTGTACTAAGGGAATGCACTTCCCCAGATCACCTGCCATTGCTCAGGTACCAGTGCTGCAGTCTGGTTAGATTTTTCATGACTTCCTTTACAGGTGAATGGGGCAAGAAGGAACATGGTTAAATGATTTTTCAGTTTGTTACTATCAACTAGATTAATTGAGAAGACAGAAGTCCTGGACTCCTTCCCTCAATCACCAGTTAAAGGGAAGTAGTGCAGACAAGCCACTCTTAAACCTCAAGTTCTCAAGCTGCCATGCTGCAGACATCTCAGGAGATGCCAATTCCTCTCCTGCCCCAATCTTTTGTTACAGAATACACTATTTTTGGCTAGTGCATATGGCAAACTTTTTAAAACACATTGAAAATTACCCATATTTAAACACAATAGGACATCAGTGTCCTGGTATGAGTAAGTCACAGAATCACATAAGGGTTGTGGTGGGAATGGACCTCTGGAGGTTCATCCAGTCCACCCCCCTGCTCCAGCAGGGCCACCTGCATCCAGCTGCCCAGAACAGTGTCTCTGGAGCATCTCCAAGCTGGGAGACTCCACAACTTCCCTGGGCAGTGAGAAGTGTTTCCT